TGTGTGTGTGTGAGTGTGAGAGAGTGTGTGAGTGTTTGTGAATGTGTGAGAGAGTGTGTGTGTGAGTCTGTGTGTGTGAGAGGGAGTGCGTGTGTGAGTGTGTGAAAGTAAGTGTGTGTGTGTGTGTGCGTGTGTGAGTGTGAGTGAATGTGTGAGAGAGTGTGTGTGTGAGTCTGTGTGCATGTGTGTGTGAGAGGGAGTGCGTGTGAGTGTGTGAAAGTAAGTGTGTGTGTGTGTGTGTGAGTCTGTGTGCATGTGTGTGTGAGAGGGAGTGCGTGTGAGTGTGTGAAAGAAAGTGTGTGTGTGTGTGTGCGTGTGCGTGTGTGTGAGTGTGTCTGTGTGAGTGTGAGTGAATGTGTGAGAGAGTGTGTGTGTGAGTCTGTGTGCGTGTCTGTGTGAGTGTGAGTGAATGTGTGAGAGAGTGTGTGTGTGAGTCTGTGTGCGTGTCTGTGTGAGTGTGAGTGAATGTGTGAGAGAGTGTGTGTGTGAGTCTGTGTGCGTGTCTGTGTGAGTGTGAGTGAATGTGTGAGAGAGTGTGTGTGTGAGTCTGTGTGCGTGTGTGAGTGTGTGAAAGTAAGTGTGTGTGTGAGTCTGTGTGCGTGTCTGTGTGAGTGTGTGCGTGTCTGTGTGTGCGTGCGTGTGCGTCTGTGTGAGTGTGTCTGTGTGAGTGTGTGTGTCTGTGTGAGTGTGTGCGTGTCTGTGTGAGTGTGAGTGAATGTGTGAGAGAGTGTGTGTGTGAGTCTGTGTGCATGTGTGTGAGAGGGAGTGCGTGTGTGAGTGTGTGAAAGTAAGTGTGTGTGTGTGTGAGTGTGAGACTGTGTGCATGTGTGTGTGTGCGAGTGTGTGAAAGAAAGTGTGTGTGTGTGTGTCTGTGCGTGTGTGAGAGTGTGTGATTATGCTTTGCTTTTTTATTACTGACAGTTTTAATATTTTCAATAACTTTTTTTTGTTTAAATATTAATATCAGTTACTAGTATTCTGCAGTGGTATAGAGAATTGTGGCATTTTGCTGGTCTCTAAAATGTAGATGTCACAGCAACCTTATTTACAAGAAAATATATATTTGAGATATATATATATATATAAATTATGATTCTTGTCATAATGGAGCAGGCCTAATCCAGACCTGTGTCTGCTGCTGGATGTGGTTCGGCGTCTGTTCGTCAGTGTCTTCTTCCCCTCAGACGCATCGACCGGAGACCCTGACGAGGCAGAAGCTCGTCTCTCTGAAGCCGCTGGGACGGTGACGGCAGAGCTCTCCTGACGCTCCTGAAGCACAACACATTACTCACATGTTATTAGGTCCATCGTATTATAATGTATGTGACGCTGCAGCACAAAAGCAGTGTTAAGTCGCTGGGGGATATTTGTAGCAATAGCCAACAATACATTGTATGGGTCACAATTATACATTTCTCTTTTATGCCAAAAATCATTAGAATATTAAGTAAAGATCATGTTCCATGAAGATATTTTGTAAATGTCCTACCGTAAATATATCAAAACTTAATGTTTGATTAGTAATATGCATTGCTAAGAACTTCATTTGAACAACTTTAAAGATGATTTTCTCAATATTTAGATTTTTTTGCACCCTCAGATTCCAGATTTTCAAATAGTTGCATCTCAGCCAAATATTGAAAAATTTACACTTTAGACTGGTTTTGGCACAAAAGGGTCATAAGAGTAAATTTTTTGAAATTGAGATTTATAAATCACATGAAAGCTGAATACATAAGGACATGCCGGTATCAAATTCTCACGTTGCGATTAATTGCTAATGCTTTTATCACGGTATTATCACGATATTGAAATTTAGTTTTTAAAAAGTGTTGCCCTAATACAGTATAACAGGTTTAATAACTTTTTCTTATAACAAAAATAACTGAACATTTAAATGCAATAAAGCAATGCAGAAAAATGTTAAAAATTGTACACAGATTAAAGTGCAAAAGAATAAAGACCAATAAGCATCACTTCACAATTAGACCTCGTTAGTTAACCTTAGTTAATGCATTAATCACAATCAGCAATAGCTATTAATCTTTGTTAAGAAATACAAGTCTTAGTTCATGTTAGCTCATTAAATAACACCGTTGCAACTTTAGATTTTAACAACATGTTATTAAATATTGGAATATCTAAGATTAATGAATGTTCAGAATTTTTCATTGGCAGTTTATGTTAACTAATGAAGCCCTAATGTAAAGTGTGACCGAACAATAAAGAATCAAAACACTTTCAAACAATATCTAGGGCATGTTGTAGTCCAGATTAAAATAAAATAAAAAGTTTTCAAAAAAACAGATACGAAAAGCCCACACACATCTGATGACAAGCACTCTAATAACCTTTGGTTGTTATTATGTTATCCTGAAACATGTTAGCTCATTAAATAACACCGTTGCAGCTTTTGATTGTAACAATGTGTCACAATATACACATTGTTACTTTTTTGAAAGAAACTAAAACTTTTATTCAGCGAGGATGTGTTCAGTTGATACAAAGTGATAGTAAAGACTTTTATTGTTAGAAAAGATTTATATTTTAAATAAATGCTGTTCTTTTTAACTTTGTATTCATCAAAGACTCAAACACTGATAATAAATCGGCATATTATACTGATTTCTGAAGATCATGTGACACTGAAGACTGGAGGAATGATGCTGAAAATACAGCTGCACATCACAGAAATAAATTATATTTTACTATATATTAAAGCAAAAAAAACAATATTAGAAATTGAAAAATATTTCACAATATTACTGTTTTTTCTGCATTTTTGATCGAATAAATACAGCCTTGATGAGTATAAGAGCCTCCATTAAAAACATTAAAAATCTTACTGATCCCAAACTTTTGACACAATGTTTCAATTAATCACAAAATAAACTCGACAGTGAAAATACCCCCAAAAGATTATTTAAAGCTATTTTTGTGTTAAACGAGAAAGTATCAAGTAGACGTTACAAATTATAGCTTTAGAAAGAAATATTTGATTTGATTCAACATAAAATTAATCACACATAAACATGGAACACAAAAGAAGGTAATTTGAGAAACATCTCCGTATTGTTTGTTCATACAACACAGCTTTGTCTTCAAAATACCTTCGTTTATGTTCCACAAAAGACAGTTTTGAAACAACACGAGGCTGAAGTAAATAAAGACAGAATTTTAATTGCTTTGGGTGAACTCTCTCTTTCATGTTTTTATGATTATTATTATTTTTTTAATGAAATAATACTCTAAATAAGAAACTAAATCCGCCAGCAGGCGGCGATAAATGCCTTTATGATTCGTTCAGAAACTAAACATGCACAACACTTCTGCTGTGGCTTTAAAGGTAATATGTTTTCTGCAAAATTGAGCAAAAACATAATATTGTGTTTAAAATATAACACAGTATTAACTTCTTATTTACCGAACTGTTGTGTAAATCACATTTAAACTCGCGATATTCGGGACGAACAGAAAAAACACGAGCAAAACATGCTCAGGTCAAAGTATCGGAATTATTTTTAGTCCCAAATATTTATTAATTTTACTGTTAGTCCACTTTATGAATACTTTTTGGGTGTAATATGTCACAGTTTAATTAATTTTTTTAGTTTACTTTTATTGAATGAACTATGGTGTCCTGCACCCACTAGTAAACAAATATAAAAAATTATATATAATAAAATTTTATTATATAATAATTTCTGGTTTGACTGTGTATATATATATATATAAAATAAAAAAAATAGAATATATTAACAAATAAAACTTCACCGCTAAGACCATTTATAATGTTTATATGCATTATTTAAACAATATAATACAACAATAATAAAAAATGTAACATAGTAGGCTTCTATGATTTACTGCAATGCTATAAAAAAAGAAAAATGCATATAAAATGAATTATTTAAATATAAATATAATAATAAAATAGGCCCATATGATTATTCAATCATTATATAAATACAATTCTAATATATTTAAACTATAATGGTTAAATATTATGAATATTATAAATGCTATTAGAATATAATAAGAAGAATTACAATGCAAAAGGCCCAAAGCTGTGAAAATTAATACTGTTTATATAATTAAATATTGTATCTGATATAACACAACCTGATTAAACCCACAAGCCTTTATATTTTACGAAGGAAGACAGAATATTGTACATTTGGTTGCAGTAACTGGCCTGGTTTGGTTTTCTTTTCTTTTCTCAGAGGAACAAAGATCTCACCAGTTTGGCCATCTCTTTCTTTCTCTTCTCTTCTCGCCTCTCCTCTTCTCTCCTCTGGATTTCTGCCAGAATCTCGTTTTGCTGCGGAGAGAAATACTGAAAGTGAGACCAGCATTAAAACGATACACTGGATCGTTAGACTGTAAATAAATACGTACAGCACTAACATCAACACCAGACACTTCTAGAAGATGTACACTACCGGCTAAAAGCTAGGGATCTTGTAATGTTTTTAAAGAAGTGTCTTCTGCTCATCAAGGCTGCATTTATTTGATTAAAAATACAGAAAAAAAATCAGTAATCTTGCAAAATGTTATTACAATATAAAATAATGGTTTCCATTTTAATATCCTTTAAAATATAATTTATTTCTGTGATGCAGCGCTGAATTTCCAGCATCATTACTCCAGTATAAAGCGTCTCATGATCTTCAGAAATCATTCTAATATACTGATTTATTATTAGAATTATCAACTATCAAATATATTTTTTTGGAAGCTGTGATACTTTTTTCAGGATTCTTTGATGAATAAAAAGTTCAAAAGAACAGCATTTATTTGAAATAGAAATCTTTGCTATCACTTCTTAACAATTTAACACATCCTTGCTGAATAAAAGTTTTCATTTCTTTCAAAGAAAGAAAGAATATAAATGTACCGACCCCAAACTTTTGAACGGTAGTGTACATTGTTAGAAAAGATTTCTATTTTGAATAAATGCTGTTCTTTTTATCCATCAAGGAATCAAAGAAAAAAAGTATCACAGATTCCCCCCAAAAAATATGAAGCAGCAACAGTTTCAGCTCTGATAATAAATCAGCATATTATACTGATTTCTGAAGATCATGTGACACTGAAGACTGGAGGAATGATGCTGAAAATACAGCTGCACATCACAGAAATACATTACAGTTTAACAGATACTCACACAGAAAACAGCTGTTTTACATTCTAATAATATTTCACAACATTAAATTTTTTCCTGTATTTTTAATCAAATAAATGCAGCCTTGATGAGCAGAAGACACTTCTTTAAAAACATTACAAGATCCCTAGCTTTTAGCCGGTTACATTGGTAGAAAAGATTTCTATTTTGAATAAATGCTGTTCTTTTTATCTTTTTATTCATCAAGGAATCAAAGAATAAAAGTATCACAGATTCCCCCCAAAAAATATGAAGCAGCAACAGTTTCAGCACTGATAATAAATCAGCATATTATACTGATTTCTGAAGATCATGTGACACTGAAGACTGGAGGAATGATGCTGAAAATACAGCTGCACATCACAGAAATACATTACAGTTTAACAGATACTCACACAGAAAACAGCTGTTTTACATTCTAATAATATTTCACAACATTAAATTTTTTCCTGTATTTTTAATCAAATAAATGCAGCCTTGACGAGCAGAAGAGACTCCTGTAAAAACATTACAAGTCTTACTGATCTCAAACTTTTGACCGGCAGTGTACTTATTTTATAAATAGAGTTGGATATCAAAATAACCGGTTCCTAGGGCTTTTTAGGCACCGACCGAATTGCCTCGATACCATCGAGTATCGAAAAACGTCTCGTCGTTCGGTACCACATTTCAATACCTAAAGGGTTAATCTCATCAGCCTCAGTGAGCCAATAAGCCTGCAGCACACGACAGATCGATCAACGTTACACGACCGAAAGCACGTGTTATGTGACCATTCATGCACACTAGCATCATGCTACATAAGACAATAAATGAGATTCATATTCCGCTTTTACTCAAAACTCACTTTAAACCACCATCGAGTGTTTGTAATCACTTCTGATTGCCGTGTAGTGTGTGTTTTGGCCATGTAATGTTGCTGAAATTAAATATGTTATTACCTCTGAGTCAGAGCAGCGATCACGGAAGAGAGAGCACAAGCAGACAGCGCTGGAAGCTGCTAATGCTCATCAGTAAATCAGCGGAAGATAAATAGAAATCATGATTCTGTCCGAGCTGCGTTTTAAAATGAACACGCACTAGTGTAAATGTAGCCTAATAGATGTGTAAACTGAAGACTATTTGAGCTTTATTAAAACTATTTGCACTGATTGGTTTGTATTTTTTTTTCAGATAATGTAATCTTGTTAAAATTGATATCGAAAAAAAGTATTGTTTAGGGACCGGTATCGAAGTCAAGGTATCGGTATTGAAAATGTTTGAACGGTACCCAGCCCTAATGGTTCTATTTTAAAACCGGTTCCAAATTTCCAAGAACCGGGTATTCGATAAGACGCATGCATTTCGATTCTGCGGTCGTATTTTAATGTGATTTAAAACGAAGGAACGAAAAGAACTTGCGCTTTGTTTGCGTGCAGCACACACGTCTGAAGGCACGAGAAGAGAAGAGCGAGGCGAGACGAGACAGACAGACAGGAAGAGCGAGGCGAGGCGAGACAGACAGACAGGAAGAGCGAGGCGAGGCGAGAGACAGGAAGAGCGAGGCGAGGCGAGAGACAGGAAGAGCGAGGCGAGGCGAGAGACAGGAAGAGCGAGGCGAGGCGAGAGACAGGAAGAGCGAGGCGAGGCGAGAGACAGGAAGAGCGAGGCGAGGCGAGAGACAGGAAGAGCGAGGCGAGGCGAGAGACAGGAAGAGCGAGGCGAGGCGAGAGACAGGAAGAGCGAGGCGAGGCGAGAGACAGGAAGAGCGAGGCGAGGCGAGAGACAGGAAGAGCGAGGCGAGGCGAGAGACAGGAAGAGCGAGGCGAGGCGAGAGACAGGAAGAGCGAGGCGAGGCGAGAGACAGGAAGAGCGAGGCGAGGCGAGAGACAGGAAGAGCGAGGCGAGGCGAGAGACAGGAAGAGCGAGGCGAGGCGAGAGACAGGAAGAGCGAGGCGAGGCGAGAGACAGGAAGAGCGAGGCGAGGCGAGAGACAGGAAGAGCGAGGCGAGGCGAGAGACAGGAAGAGCGAGGCGAGGCGAGAGACAGGAAGAGCGAGGCGAGGCGAGAGACAGGAAGAGCGAGGCGAGGCGAGAGACAGGAAGAGCGAGGCGAGGCGAGAGACAGGAAGAGCGAGGCGAGGCGAGAGACAGGAAGAGCGAGGCGAGGCGAGAGACAGGAAGAGCGAGGCGAGGCGAGAGACAGGAAGAGCGAGGCGAGGCGAGAGACAGGAAGAGCGAGGCGAGGCGAGAGACAGGAAGAGCGAGGCGAGGCGAGAGACAGGAAGAGCGAGGCGAGGCGAGAGACAGGAAGAGCGAGGCGAGGCGAGAGACAGGAAGAGCGAGGCGAGGCGAGAGACAGGAAGAGCGAGGCGAGGCGAGAGACAGGAAGAGCGAGGCGAGGCGAGAGACAGGAAGAGCGAGGCGAGGCGAGAGACAGGAAGAGCGAGGCGAGGCGAGAGACAGGAAGAGCGAGGCGAGGCGAGAGACAGGAAGAGCGAGGCGAGGCGAGAGACAGGAAGAGCGAGGCGAGGCGAGAGACAGGAAGAGCGAGGCGAGGCGAGAGACAGGAAGAGCGAGGCGAGGCGAGAGACAGGAAGAGCGAGGCGAGGCGAGAGACAGGAAGAGCGAGGCGAGGCGAGAGACAGGAAGAGCGAGGCGAGGCGAGAGACAGGAAGAGCGAGGCGAGGCGAGAGACAGGAAGAGCGAGGCGAGGCGAGAGACAGGAAGAGCGAGGCGAGGCGAGAGACAGGAAGAGCGAGGCGAGGCGAGAGACAGGAAGAGCGAGGCGAGGCGAGAGACAGGAAGAGCGAGGCGAGGCGAGAGACAGGAAGAGCGAGGCGAGGCGAGAGACAGGAAGAGCGAGGCGAGGCGAGAGACAGGAAGAGCGAGGCGAGGCGAGAGACAGGAAGAGCGAGGCGAGGCGAGAGACAGGAAGAGCGAGGCGAGGCGAGAGACAGGAAGAGCGAGGCGAGGCGAGAGACAGGAAGAGCGAGGCGAGGCGAGAGACAGGAAGAGCGAGGCGAGGCGAGAGACAGGAAGAGCGAGGCGAGGCGAGAGACAGGAAGAGCGAGGCGAGGCGAGAGACAGGAAGAGCGAGGCGAGGCGAGAGACAGGAAGAGCGAGGCGAGGCGAGAGACAGGAAGAGCGAGGCGAGGCGAGAGACAGGAAGAGCGAGGCGAGGCGAGAGACAGGAAGAGCGAGGCGAGGCGAGAGACAGGAAGAGCGAGGCGAGGCGAGAGACAGGAAGAGCGAGGCGAGGCGAGAGACAGGAAGAGCGAGGCGAGGCGAGAGACAGGAAGAGCGAGGCGAGGCGAGAGACAGGAAGAGCGAGGCGAGGCGAGAGACAGGAAGAGCGAGGCGAGGCGAGAGACAGGAAGAGCGAGGCGAGGCGAGAGACAGGAAGAGCGAGGCGAGGCGAGAGACAGGAAGAGCGAGGCGAGGCGAGAGACAGGAAGAGCGAGGCGAGGCGAGAGACAGGAAGAGCGAGGCGAGGCGAGAGACAGGAAGAGCGAGGCGAGGCGAGAGACAGGAAGAGCGAGGCGAGGCGAGAGACAGGAAGAGCGAGGCGAGGCGAGAGACAGGAAGAGCGAGGCGAGGCGAGAGACAGGAAGAGCGAGGCGAGGCGAGAGACAGGAAGAGCGAGGCGAGGCGAGAGACAGGAAGAGCGAGGCGAGGCGAGAGACAGGAAGAGCGAGGCGAGGCGAGAGACAGGAAGAGCGAGGCGAGGCGAGAGACAGGAAGAGCGAGGCGAGGCGAGAGACAGGAAGAGCGAGGCGAGGCGAGAGACAGGAAGAGCGAGGCGAGGCGAGAGACAGGAAGAGCGAGGCGAGGCGAGAGACAGGAAGAGCGAGGCGAGGCGAGAGACAGGAAGAGCGAGGCGAGGCGAGAGACAGGAAGAGCGAGGCGAGGCGAGAGACAGGAAGAGCGAGGCGAGGCGAGAGACAGGAAGAGCGAGGCGAGGCGAGAGACAGGAAGAGCGAGGCGAGGCGAGAGACAGGAAGAGCGAGGCGAGGCGAGAGACAGGAAGAGCGAGGCGAGGCGAGAGACAGGAAGAGCGAGGCGAGGCGAGAGACAGGAAGAGCGAGGCGAGGCGAGAGACAGGAAGAGCGAGGCGAGGCGAGAGACAGGAAGAGCGAGGCGAGGCGAGAGACAGGAAGAGCGAGGCGAGGCGAGAGA